GACAAGCGGGGGAGGCGGAGGGGTCCCGCAGCTCTGAGGCTTTGCCAGAGCAAAGCCTCAGAGGCGCGGGACCCCTCTGCCTCCCCGGCTTTGCTCCCCGTGTCCCTGGTCTGCTGGAGACAGTCCCCAGCAGACCAGGGGCACCCGGAGCAGCTTTTCTCGCCCCGGAGGTTGAGGTGGCGGGACCGCTGCGCTCTGGGCGGTCCCGCTGCCTGCGAGCTCCGGGGTGAGAAAGCCCTGTTTGTAAGTGCAGATCCGACTAAGTCGGATCCACGTAACTCGGGGACTGCCTGTATACAGAAACCATGAGGTCTAAATTAGCTGTTACCACTCAGAAAGCCATCTTAAGAGTCACTATGTAGAACTATCTGAAAGATTTCCTCAATATACAGCGGCACTCGAAAAGCTAACAATGTTAGGGACCATTAAGAAAGGGAAACTAATATAGTAAATATTTTAGTAAAATATCATGCTCTCATCTTGAATTCTGCATGCAGTTTTGGTCATCCCACATCAAAAAAAGATACTAGAATTGGAAAAGGCAACAAATGGGAATGGAACAGCTTCCATATGAGGAGAAATTAAAAAGATTGGGAGTGTCAGCAAAGAATGATAAAGGGGGGTAAATATGATAAAGGTAATTAAAATCATGGCTGCAGTAGAGACAGTGAATAAGCGGAATTAACCCCTTCACATAACACTAGAACCAGGGGTCATCCATGAAATTAACAGGTTTAAAAACAAACAGAAGAAAGTAATTCTTCATACCTCACAATCAACCTGTGGAACACATTGCCAGGGGACATTGTGGAGGCCAGAACAGTGACTGGTTCAAAAAAGAATTACGTAAGTGGATATTAGCCACAATAGTCAGGAACACAAACCCATGCTTTCTGGGTGCCCCTAGGCCTCTTGAGTGCTAGATGCTGCAGCTGGGCACCTGGAGACCAATCATTTGATGGTTGCTGTTCTGTTCATTCCGTTCATTCCCTTTTGAAGCATCTTTTTAATAACCAATACTGACATTTCAAAGACTAGTCTGTTTAAGTATACTGATACTGCAATTATTTTTTTCACCTACTGACCAAGTCTTTAGTATGTTACCAACAATAAACCAGAGAACAGCCACAACATTTCAAGTATGCTGAAAATACATATGGACAGTTAGCATTTTGTCCTACTGAAAATGTTTTCTCCAACAAAATTGAGAATTAATAATTTAGGAGACTTGTAGAATTAATTACCTGCAAGAATATGTAGGTTCTCCTACTTTAAATACCCGACCACAGAGATGGGAAGGTTTGTTTCCTTGCTCAAGTTTTGGAAAGCCAAATGTGGGGTCTTCACCACATAGATACCATTCCATTGGTCCCAGCAACACATGTTGTGCTAGCATGTCTTCTCTTTGTGGGGCAGGATTAGGACCCTTGCAGTAAATTTTGGGTACATAGTAGGCCAGATGAAGGTATACTTCTTTAGGAAGATCAGTTGCTTGTAGCCATTTCTTTAATTAAAAAGAAAGCAAACAAAATTACTCTCAAAATCAACACCACCGTAGCTGTTCTAGCGCCTTTCTTTTCAACCTAAAAGCTAAAGAGACATTGCAAACGTTACAATCAAATTAACATTTTGCAACTACTACCATTAAAAGAAAGGTAAATTACTACAAATAAACATTGGTAAAGTATTTTCCCCATAATTTGAATATTTTGTAAATTTGACAGCACATGGGGATTTTCAAAGGTACAAAATAGGGATGTTAAGTGTGTAATTCATTAATTGTATAGTCGACAAAAATTTTGTCAGCTACACAATTATTCGATAAGGGTTACCAACTGCTACCACTCCTGCGAGGTCTAGCAATTATCTCTGCCATGGCTTTGCACTACAAATACTAGAGCCACAGCAGGGACTGATGCCGGGTCCTTGTATTAAGAGCCAGCTGGCATTAAGGGAAGCTAGCCCAGTCCTAGCTCGTGTTGTGACCCGACATGAACCCCTGCTGAGGCTCTGCACTATAAGTACTAAGAGCCAGTGCAGGGGTTGATGCTGCTCCCAGCATGAGCTGGGACTGAGCTAGTCTGCCCATGAACTGGCTATTAATGCCAGGACCTGACATCAATCCCCGCTGCAGCTCTGCAGTACAAGCATGAAGAGCCAGCACAGGTTTGATGTTAAGTCCTGGCACGAGTTGGGACTGAGACAGACTGTCAGACAGCCTGATAAAAAAAATATATATTTGCAGGGCACTGGGGGAGTGTTGTGTGTAGTCAATACCATTAACTGATAAACACTCTCTTATCGGTTAATCGTATAGTCAACTCAGGGCCGGCTCGAGCCATTCCTGTGCACCAGGCAGCGGGCACGCGGAGCCTGATGGCAGCTCTAAGGGGTGCCTCGTGGCCCCCAGCCCCGGGCATGTGGCGCCTGAATGAAGCTCAAAGGGCTCTGCGCAGCCGGGCACATAGTGCCCCTTACAGCTGCCATCAGATGCCTCCCATAGGTTGGCGCTCCAGGCAGCTGCCCGGCTAGCCCCCCCTTAATCTGGCCCTGAGTCAACTACACTATTACATCCCTAGTACAAAAGCGAATAAAGCCTCTAACTCTCAAAAATCTCTATCATAATGTACAGTTTATTTTTCCTTTCTGAAAGGACCTTCAAACATCAATCAAGGAGATGAAAATGCCTTATACATTGTTTGTTTAGAGAATCCTTTTTATAAAAATTCAGGATATAGTAAAACCTTTGTTATCTGGCACTCTGTTAACCAGCATTGCCCCCAGCCACAATACTGTCTCATCTTCAAGTGCACAGGTCTGGCTTGGTTTACCATGACTGGCTTAACAATTTTTTATTTAAGAAGTATTAATAATCTTTAACTCAAAATACCAATATTAAAACTACCAATATTAAAAACCTGAATTTTATTATTATTGTCTATTGGTTTTTCCTAGGTTGATGGGACCCTCAGATAACCGGAATTTTTAGATAACAGGGCCAGATAAACAATATACAGTAAAACTTGTGTTAACGGGAGACCTGTCAAAAAATGGAATTGTTATATTTCAGTTATTAAAAGTTTACAATTGAAGAGAGACCTTCAAAGAATGTCAAACTGATTTTTTTTGCTGTATCTTTCTTGTAGACTCAATCCCCCACCTCAATTACTCAAGGTATAAAAGGTGAGATGGCATATGGATATTATGAAAGTATGTCTAATATAAAAGTTGATCCCGCTCATTTAATTATTTTATTTCAACCAAATAACTGAAGACTTTACCATTGGCTATTTTTAACTGATGTATTACTAAGGATAATTATTAATTCAGAATATAATCAACAATGGGCATATACACATACTATAAGTATGCACCGATTCAGTACTGCACTGTGGATAAACCTTCCAAACATTTAAGTACAGGTTAGATCTATCTAGTCCAACACTGTTGGTACCAGACTGATCCCAAACAACAGCATTTGCTGGACCAGGGGAGCTCTCCTGCCACTGGCCCCTAAATTCATCCCCTGCTGCCTTCCCTTCCCCCACCGCCAAATTTGTCTGGACTGGTTTAGCAGCTGCTGCCAGCTCCTTAGGCAGCATACATTCCATGCAGCTTTTCAAAGCAGCAACACTGCGTGGAGCCTGGGGTCAGCTGGAGACTCTCCCACTGACTCCAGGCTCCACACGGTGCTGTCGCTTTGAAAAGCTGCCTGCAGCCGGGGCCAGCTGGGGACTCCCCAACTGCAGGCGGCATTTCAAAGCAGCAGTGCCATGTGGAGCTCAGGGTCTGGCCCCAGGCTCCACGCAGCACTGCTGCCTGAAGCACTCCCTCCTTTCCCCCCACCCCTTGCTGCCTCTTTCTGACGGCGGCAGCGGGGGCAGGGGGAACAACTAGCATGTCAACTATCCGATAAGCATTTGCTTATCGGATAGTTGACTAGTTGTTCACATCCCTAACTACTACGAACTTCAGGTTGAGAAAAATGGTTAATTCAATCAGAATTAATCCAAGAATGCATGAAAAGTGAGAATTATACAGAAATAACTAGTTTAAGATACCAGCGACTATAGCTTGATTTCACTGGAATAATTTGTCGTCTTCTACTCTAATATAGGCTCTTGAGAGACACAATATTTGTGAAAGAGCGTAGATTTGACCCCCTTATTTATACTTTCACAATTTTTCTATTTATGGCACTCACATGATGCCTTTTTTGAAAACGATGTACAACTAAAATAGAATCACGGCAGAAAGCTTCATATTTCAACAGTTTAGCAACAGCTAATTTCAGTGCTAGACTATTTCTGACAAGTCTTGATAGTAGAAGTTTACTCTAGCCTCTCAAAAACATGCTCCATCTTCTAAGCACTAAGCCACCTTTGGTGTTCACAGCTCTGGAATTTTTCCAAACTGGCCTTAGCTGAAAGACTACTAAGAAAAATCAGCAACCAAAAATCTCAGAGTTTCTTTCCTCTAGTTAAACCAACCATTCTTAGAATAGATCAAAGAAACTACATGATCCTTTCTCTCCAAAAATTTGACTTTCCTGTTCTTGTAAGTCTTGCTTTGCAAAACATTTTTGAAAAAACAAAAAAAATCACAACAACTAGTTTTCCTCACTCGTGAAGATCTACAACTACTTTATTAGTTGTACAGTAAAATTGACCTTGCACCTCCTGTTGTGTTTCTCCAAGAAGCTGAATATTTCCCAGGCAATTTTCTGTACTACACGTAAGTGCTATTGGTTTTTTTCCCCTCCCTTAACCAAGTGCTTTAATCTCGTTTCATCTCAACTCTATAGCATATAACTACCTTCTATCTAAGAGTTCAGTTTTACAAGCACAGACAAGTACTCAGAGCAAAATCTCATCTCCCAGGTACCCAGGCTATCCTTCACAATAACTGTGGTTATTCTGACATTGGTAGAAAGATTCTCTATAGGAATCCCACATAACCTGCTAATTTATCCTTGAAAGTCAGTGATATCTTCTAAATGTTTTAATAACCACAAATTCTATTTTTAGTTTGTCCTGATGTAGATTACATTTTAGCCAAGAGTATAGAATTTAATTTTTTAAATAAAATTCTGTGATTTATATAATCTTAGTGAGGATCCCCTTTTTAAATACATGTATGAAATTACTGGCTTAATTTGCTGACAAACACAGGTTTGACCTCTCTGGTCTGGCACCCTCGGGACCTGAGTGGTCCTGAAGGAGAGTTTGCTGGACCAAGAGAAGTCAGGCATGGGACTCTCTGGGGCTCCCTCCTGGACACCAGCCCAGCAAGCACATTGCCCTCGGCTGGTGGTGAGGCTCCACTACCAGCTGCCGCTCGGGTCCAGCTGGGGGCGGGGAACTGGAGGCTCCTTGTCCCGTCCAGTGCAGCTCTGCTCTTGGCTAACAGGGCTCCCCGCCTGCAGGCCACTGACCCTACCGGCTGAGCTCAAAGCCACTGACAACCTCTGTGGCTGGGGCTCTCTAGTCTAGCAAAATGTGTGATCCAGAAGGGGAGGCAGAGGTGTAGCGGGAGACCGGGCATGAACTAGGAATTAGCTGTCCCAGCTCACGCTTTGTCCCATCCTCTGTGCTTCAGCCTTTTAAATTTAAGAGCCAGGCAGCTCTTAATACATTTAAGAGGCAGAGCCGCAGCGGGGTTAGCTCCTGGAGTTGGGAGCTAGCCCCACTGCAGCTCTGCAGTTTCCCCCCTTACTGACTAATGGATGGAAATTCTATTAACTAGTCAATTAGTTGATTAAATGCATGTAACATCCCTAATAAGTACACATTAAAATGTTATGCTTCAGTGCCACAAGCTGCCTATTGTCCTCTCTGTCCCCCCCGAACCCACCACAGCTACAACCTGTGTCTAAAGAATCCACATGACTTCACTGGGGTTTTTAAACATTCGATTCACAAGTCCTGGCCTGCCTAAATAGGAATCAGAAGCAAAGTAGTATGGACTATTACAGGCTAAACCACTCTAGGCTGGCACTCTTTGGTCCAGCAACATCTGTGGTCTGGCATGATTTTAGTTAGCCAGATGTGCAGTTATTATGGGTGTGGCCAAGAGTCCCACGATCCCATAATGTTTATTTACAGCTACCAGTCCTGGCTCTCAGTGTTCTGTGCTATTATTTAGCTCTAATTTACCCTTAAATGTCTTCTAAGAGCCCAGTAAGCAGTAGGAGTATTTGTGATGCTGATAGATAATATTGACCTCCTGTGTGGTTCAGCAAATTCTCTGGTTCAGCACTGGTCAGGTCCCAAGGATGCCAGACTAGAGAGGTTCAACCTGTACGAGGAAAAAGTACTACATTCCAGAGCACAATCAAATGAGCTTTTTTTCCTGAACAGTCACAAAAAAATGACTGACAAAATGAGTAACAGGAAAAACATGACAGAAATCAGTACTGGACAGTGAAAATACTAAATATGGCAAGGTTCACTTTACAAGCATGCAAGTCTGGCAACCAGAGATCAGTAGGCAAGGCTCAGAGCTGGTTCCAGTTCAAAAGTATTTCTGACTCAAAGACCTTGCAAAAAGTCTAATTAACAATGCAAAGCATGTGTATTTATGTACTTTAATGTAAAACAAAATCAAAAGGATATTTCAGAAAATTGATCACTTCAGAAGAATTAAATGGCAAAAAAAAAAAAATTACCACAAAGTGTATAATTTAGTCTCTAACATATTTATTGCATATTTGAAAGACATCACTGCATGTAAATATTGATACGTAAAATGACGTGTGGCCGAAAAAGGGACCAAATTACATTTTATCACAGGATGAGAGGATCTTATTAGAAACTATACAATTCATGGTCTGTTGCTGCTTCTTTCCCCAAAGGGCCCTACTTAGTCTCCAGTAACAGCTCCCCTTTGCCACCTTATACACTCTAGTTCTTATAAATGTTTGAAGAACCTGTAACAATTACCATGTCATGATTATGTAAGTATTTTAAATATCCACTGTGTGAAAAGTGTTTTTATTTGAATAAAATGTGACGAAATAAGGGAATAAATCAAATTTATCATTGAAATAATTTCACATTTGCCACCACAAGTGTCCATTAAAAGAGATAACTTAAATATTAAAAGCATAAAAACATGATAATTTGAATCATGGATTTTTTTTTCTGATAAGGTAATTATAAATCTGTTATTGACATTTACAAATAAAGCTCTGATGCTATGAACAGTTACACCCAAGAGAGCCCACTGAATTACATATATGAACCATAGAACACTCATACAAAAGTACTTAGTTCCATTGAACACTACTCTTAAATGTTCCCAAAAAGGGAATGCTTCTCTTTCTCCACTCTCCATGAGCATAAGAGGTCAGTTACCTTGTGACTGAATTTTAAGGTACAGTGTAACCCCAAATACAGTTGGCACAGAAAAACAGCTGCTTGTCAGAGAGAGGAGAAAGGGGAAAAAAAACTTAGGAAATCCACAACCCTGCAAATAGGTGTATGGGAGCAGACCACTGCTCTCTCACACAATCCCACTGAAATCAATAGGTTGCTGTGCATGGATCTGTACTCATGAAGCTCTTTCCAAGCTTGGGGCCTAAGCAGCTGAGGCGGGTAGAAGGAAACACTGTTTTTAAAGCCTTCTCCCAAGCAATCTTAAGAACAAAACTTAAAAACTGGGAAGGGAAGAGGAGCCAGCAACCCGAAATACAACCTGTTGAAATCAGAGACTGCCGGGCAAGTGACCAGCCTGGGAGAGGAAGCCGTAGAAGTGGGACTCGAGTCAAGCCAAGCAGACGGGAGAGCTGACTTTGCTCTTCGCTTCCACGTCCTGTCACACCTCAGCGGGCTTGACACGGCAGCAAGTTAACACGAGAGAGTCTCTAGTTCACGGGGCCCCTTGAAACAGCCCCGCCACAATCGCCCCTCGCCATCAAACATATTTACCTCCCTGCCACCTCCGCCCGCCCCTAAGGCAGCGCGAGAGATCGCCTCCCCCCACTGCCGGGCCTGGCCCTACGGACCCCCCTGCCCACACACCCAGCCCGCCCGCAGGCCCGCGCCCCTAACGGCCCCCGGGATACGAGCCTCACCACGGCAGCCTCCTCGGCGGAACATTCCAGCAAGCTCCTGTCAATGGCCTGAACCTCCGTCTCCAAGTCCGACGCCATCTTCCTCCCCCCTCCAGCGGCACCACCAAGTAGGTGACACCCGGAACCGGACCCAGCCGGCCTCCCCGCGGGGGGAACCCACTTCCGCTTCTGCCCCTCCCCGTTCCTCGCCGCCGGGCGGGGTATAACTGCCCTCTCCCTTCCGCCGCGGAGACGCCATCGTGAGCTGGCGGTGCATTGTGGGGGATGTAGTCCTAGCGCTGGAGCTGGCCCTCTGTCCTTCCTTACAGAGGTCCCTTCGCTTGGCTGGTTGACTGACGTCATGGCCCCTCTGCCTCCCCCCCCCCACCTCCCCATTCCCGGTGCTGCCCAGGCTTTGAGACCCTGACCACTGCGCTGGGGACCACTGCCTCTCATATTGGCCTACAGGTTTGCTGCTGCTTGTCCTAAGCAATGCACCACCTATGGCAGCTTCCCCACCTCCTTATGGTCGTTGCCAAGGTCCTACAAAATCAGCGTCTCATTCTATTTCGGTATATTTCTGAAGATTTTATATATGGTAAATTTCATGATTTTAGATATTTAAATCTGAAATTTTACAGTGTTGTACTTGTAGGGGTTCTTCTGACCCAGGAAGAGTTTGGGAGGGGATGGCAAGTTGTAGGTAGTTGCAGTACTGCTACCCCTACTTCTGCACAGCTGCTAGCAGCAGCATTGCCTTCAGAGGCTGGAGAGTGGAGGCTGCTGGCCAGAAATCAAGCTCTGAAGGCAAAGCTACTGCCAGCAGCAGCTTAGAAGTAAGAATGGCATGGCATGGCATGGCATGGTATGGTATTGCTCCACTTACCTCTGCGCTGCTGTCTGCACAGTTGAGTTGTCAGTCAGCAACTGCCACTTTCCAACCACCCAACTCTGAAAGGCTTTAGTGTGCATGTGGGTCATGTTCCCAAGAATTTTCTCCACCACTAAGAGATCTAGAAATTTACTTTTTTCTATTTTTAATTGCATAAATCCAGAAGTTGGATCTTTAAGACAAATACAAATAGTGCAAAGGTTGGCAGTGCTACAGTTACACTATTGTGCAAGTAATTCTGTGGCTCCTGAAGAGCTAAGAATATAAGAACAGCCACATTGGGTAACACCAAAGGTCCATCCAGTATAATATCCTGTCTTCTGACAGTAGCCCCAGGTACCCAGAGAGAATGAACAGAACAAATAATCAAGTGAGCTATCCCCATTACCTATTTTCAGCTTGTGGAAAACAGAGGTTAAGAACTCCATTCCTGGCCTCCTCCATCAACTTATCTAATTCATTTTTAACCCTATTAAAGTCTTTGCCTTCACAGCCTCCTCTGGCAAGAAGTTCCACAGGTTGATTGTGCGTTGTGTGAAAAAATACTTCCTTTTCTTTGTTTTAAACCTGCTGCCTATTGATTTAATTTGATAATCCATAGTTCTTGTATATCAGGAGTAAATAACACGTCCTTATTTACTGTCTTCACACAGTCATGATTTTATAAATCTCTATCATATTTCTGCTTAGTCTCCTCTTTTTCAAGCTGAAAAGTCCTTCCTCATATGGAAGCCACTCCCTACTCCAAACATTTTTTATGCTCTTTTCTGAACCTTTTTCAAATTCCAATATATCTTTTTTGAGAATGGGCAACCACATGTGCATGCAGTATTCAAGATGTACAACACATGTATTTATATAGAGACAATATGATTTTTTTGGTCTGACTCTCTTTTTTTAATGATTCTCAACATTCTGTTGACTTTTTGAATGCCATTGAATGGATGTTTTCAGAGAACTATCCACAATGACTGCAAGATTTCTTTCTTAAACAACTAATTTAGACCAGATCATTTTATATTTATAGTTGGGATTACGTTTTCCAATGTGAATTACTTTGCACTTGTCAGCACTGAATTTCATCTGCCATTTTGTTGCCCACTTTTGTGAGATTATTTTTTCAATTCTTCATAGTGTGCTTGCTTGGGATTTAATTATTTTAAGTAGTTTTGTATCATCTGCAGGTTTTGTCACCTCACCGTTTATCACTTTTGCCAAATCATTTATCAATACGTTGCATAGGACTGCTCCCAGTACACATGCCTGTGGGACACCACTATTTACCTCTCTCCATTCTGAATAAGGATGTTAAATACCGAATAATTGACTAATCGAATAGTCGATGCATTTTGCATCGACTATTCAATTAGTTGATAGGGCCTGTAGAGCTGTTGCTACACTTCAAAGGTGAAAGTGCCCTGTGGATCATGGGATCAGCTGGGACTCCTCTGCTGACCCCGGGATCCATGCGTCACTGCAGCTTTGAAACACGGCGGGGAACCTGGCATCAGGCTGCACGTGGCGTTTCAAAGTGGCAGCACCACGTGGAGCCTGGAGTTTGGCCCCAGGCTCCATGTGGCGCTACTGCTTTGAAGTAACCCCTCTCCTTCCCCCCCTTTGCCCCATCTTTCTGATGGAGGCAACAAGGAGGGGGAAGTGACTAGTCAGCTAGCCTGTCAACGATCCGATAAACATTTACTTATCGGATCGTTGACTAGTCGTTCACATCCCTAATTCTGAAAAGTGAACATTTATTCCTATCCTTTTTTTCCTATCTTTTAATTAGAAGTAAGAATGGCATGGCATGGCATGGCATGGTATGGTATTGCTCCACTTACCTCTGCGCTGCTGTCTGCACAGTTGAGTTGTCAGTCAGCAACTGCCACTTTCCAACCACCCAACTCTGAAAGGCTTTAGTGTGCATGTGGGTCATGTTCCCAAGAATTTTCTCCACCACTAAGAGATCTAGAAATTTACTTTTTTCTATTTTTAATTGCATAAATCCAGAAGTTGGATCTTTAAGACAAATACAAATAGTGCAAAGGTTGGCAGTGCTACAGTTACACTATTGTGCAAGTAATTCTGTGGCTCCTGAAGAGCTAAGAATATAAGAACAGCCACATTGGGTAACACCAAAGGTCCATCCAGTATAATATCCTGTCTTCTGACAGTAGCCCCAGGTACCCAGAGAGAATGAACAGAACAAATAATCAAGTGAGCTATCCCCATTACCTATTTTCAGCTTGTGGAAAACAGAGGTTAAGAACTCCATTCCTGGCCTCCTCCATCAACTTATCTAATTCATTTTTAACCCTATTAAAGTCTTTGCCTTCACAGCCTCCTCTGGCAAGAAGTTCCACAGGTTGATTGTGCGTTGTGTGAAAAAATACTTCCTTTTCTTTGTTTTAAACCTGCTGCCTATTGATTTAATTTGATAATCCATAGTTCTTGTATATCAGGAGTAAATAACACGTCCTTATTTACTGTCTTCACACAGTCATGATTTTATAAATCTCTATCATATTTCTGCTTAGTCTCCTCTTTTTCAAGCTGAAAAGTCCTTCCTCATATGGAAGCCACTCCCTACTCCAAACATTTTTTATGCTCTTTTCTGAACCTTTTTCAAATTCCAATATATCTTTTTTGAGAATGGGCAACCACATGTGCATGCAGTATTCAAGATGTACAACACATGTATTTATATAGAGACAATATGATTTTTTTGGTCTGACTCTCTTTTTTTAATGATTCTCAACATTCTGTTGACTTTTTGAATGCCATTGAATGGATGTTTTCAGAGAACTATCCACAATGACTGCAAGATTTCTTTCTTAAACAACTAATTTAGACCAGATCATTTTATATTTATAGTTGGGATTACGTTTTCCAATGTGAATTACTTTGCACTTGTCAGCACTGAATTTCATCTGCCATTTTGTTGCCCACTTTTGTGAGATTATTTTTTCAATTCTTCATAGTGTGCTTGCTTGGGATTTAATTATTTTAAGTAGTTTTGTATCATCTGCAGGTTTTGTCACCTCACCGTTTATCACTTTTGCCAAATCATTTATCAATACGTTGCATAGGACTGCTCCCAGTACACATGCCTGTGGGACACCACTATTTACCTCTCTCCATTCTGAATAAGGATGTTAAATACCGAATAATTGACTAATCGAATAGTCGATGCATTTTGCATCGACTATTCAATTAGTTGATAGGGCCTGTAGAGCTGTTGCTACACTTCAAAGGTGAAAGTGCCCTGTGGATCATGGGATCAGCTGGGACTCCTCTGCTGACCCCGGGATCCATGCGTCACTGCAGCTTTGAAACACGGCGGGGAACCTGGCATCAGGCTGCACGTGGCGTTTCAAAGTGGCAGCACCACGTGGAGCCTGGAGTTTGGCCCCAGGCTCCATGTGGCGCTACTGCTTTGAAGTAACCCCTCTCCTTCCCCCCCTTTGCCCCATCTTTCTGATGGAGGCAACAAGGAGGGGGAAGTGACTAGTCAGCTAGCCTGTCAACGATCCGATAAACATTTACTTATCGGATCGTTGACTAGTCGTTCACATCCCTAATTCTGAAAAGTGAACATTTATTCCTATCCTTTTTTTCCTATCTTTTAACTACTTACTAGTCCACGAGAGGATCTTCCCTCTTATTTTATAGCAGCTTACTTTTCTTAAGAGTCTTTGGTGAAGGACCTGTCAAAGGCTTTCTGAAAATTTAAGTACACTATATCCACTGAACCTTCCCCCGCCCCTCAAAGAATTCTAGTAAAATGGTGAAGCATGATTTCCCTTTACAAAAACCATGTCAATTCTTCCCCAACAAATTATGACCGTCTACATGTCTTCACAATTTTGTTTTTTACTATAGTTTCAAACAGTTTGGTTGGTACTGAAGTCAGGCTTATTTGGCCTATACTGGACCACCTCTGAAGCACTTTTAAAAAATTGGCTTTATCTCTCCCCCAGTAATTTGACTCATGGGTCATTTATTCTTAAGTATAGGTTAGTAGCATTGACCCCAGACCTTCCATTCTGGAAATAATAGGCCTCATACATTTGAGCAATGAGACAATCTTGATTACAAGTATTTTTTTCATATCTGCTTCAATTAGGGCTGCCAGGTGTTCGGTATTGACCCGGACAGTCTGGTATTTTCACCTCCTGTCTGGTGAAAAAATTCAGAAAATGCTGGACACCTAAAATGTCCAGTCCAGTATTTTCTGATTTGGTGCTTACCTGGTTCTGCAGGGGAGCTGTCTGGCCCAGAGCAGGAAAACAAGATGGCGGATGGCTGCCGGCAGCCTGTTAAGGCCAAAAAAACCTCAAAGGCATTTCTTAAAGGGGCCATATTGGTTTTTTATTTTTAATTTTTAAATTTTTTGTTCTCAACAATTTTGATCTCCCTCTTTTTTTCTCTCAACAAATTTTTTTCCCTGGTGGGGTTTTTTTTGGGAAGGGGAGGAGTATTCGGTATTTTTGGTTAAACCATCTGGCAACCTTAGCATCAATCTCTCCTCAAGGTCATTCAAAGTATGTATCGCTGTGGTATTTAGAGATTTGTATACTGTCACTGGTATAACTAAAGATGCGATGGTAAACCATTTTAGTTAAATCAGTGTACGTTTGTGGGTGAATATCATAACTACAGTTTAAAACTAGTTTTTAGCAGTTTAGGTGCAAGCAACATTGGTTAATATCACATGTTTAATTAAACTGGTCCCATTTTGTGTCTAGGTCAGTCCTAAATGCTAATTAGAGATTATTATTTAAATTGTGGTACTGCATAGGTACTCCAAACTGGAATTTTGGCCCCATCATGCTAGATACTGTACAAATAACACAAAGGCAATCTCTGTTCCAGATAATTTACAATTCAGGCTTTAATGTGCAACAGTTGAATACACAGGCAAATGGGTAGGAAAGTGGAAAGGCAAGGATGTGATGGTGTAAGGAAATTACTGCTGGTCAGATGGTGCTGATTTGTAGTAATCACAGCAACAATAAATTTTAAGGAGGGAAAATAAGATGATAATGTGTGTTTCTTAAATAATAATTTTCCACTGGTATCTTTTAAACCTTGTGTGCATGATTATTGGGGTTTTTATTGTTGCTGGGTTTTTTTTCCTTCTTCTTCTTCCTCTCCTTCAATTTCCCCAACTAATCACCTAATTGCAGATTCCTCAGGGGTGATATCCCATCTTTCCTTTGATTATAAAGCAACAAATATCCATAGGTCAGTGTATTATTATAAATGATTATATATAAATAACTTGAGCCTTATGCCATTACAAGGCAACCCTTGAATAATTTGACATTCCATCCAGTAGATGGCAGCAGTGCATATTATGTGTATCTACTGTACATGTAATGCATTCATGATTTCAGAACTCAATTTGATCAGAGAGGGGCAACCTAATTAGTGAGTGGGCCAGTGGCCTGCAAAATTCTTGTAACCAAGACAGTCTCGTGGGGTAGGGTAGTTGTGCCTAGAATTTGTGGGGTGTGCTGATTAGCTGCAAAGGAAGCGCACACCTCTCACAGTCAATGTTCTGTGCAATCTGCATCACCTCACTTCATGTGCCCCTGCTTTACATATGTGTCACTTTAGTATTACCTATAGGAAAATAATTACACAAATGGAAAACAATGGAATCTGGCTTCCTTGAAAGTGGGCTATGGTAAACCATGTCTCATGGGCCACACATAGAATCATGATGGGTCAAATGTGACCTATGGACTGCAGGTTGCCTACCACTGCACTTAATTGTGTTTTTGGCAAAATACATGTGTGTTATAAGAGTGTGAATTTTGCCTTGAAGTTTCATGGAGCTTTTAGTGTAATGAGGACAGACCTCTGGGAAAGTTTGCCTTCAGTAACTGGAAGAGGATTGGCTGGGTCATGGCTGGGCAGGACAAATAAATTAATGGCCTTTTGGATATTTATTTAAACTTTCAGAGTTGTAAGACAAGGTTTACTTTGCTTTTGTTGCTAATTTATTAGGGATGTATGTTTCAACCTAATGCATGTATTCATTTTTTCATTTTGTCTTTCTCAACAAAGTTCTTGAAATGATCCTCTGTAATCATGGATTTTTTTTTTTTTTGCAAAGTATCAGTAATGTCCATTCCACCTTCTATTCATGAATTGCAGGTGCATAAGGCACATAAGATGAAAGGCCTCTCTCAGAAGGAAGGGAAAGAAAAGAAAACTACATGACATAGTGAGATGTCCCTCCTGTGATAAGCATGAAGTTATAAAACCTTTGTGGTTTGGTCTTGTGAAAGGTACCATGCTTTACATATGAAGGAATGGGATCCAAACAGCAATGTAATCTGCATATCTGTTACACTGGTGTTGAATAACATCTTCCTAGATTATGAAGTTTCAGATCTTTTCTGATCATGTCATTACTTTTCTAATTCTGAAATATTATTAGAATTAAAAACATCATAGTTTAATTTGAGAAGTCACAGTACCCAACCCTTTTTCCCCATTCTCTAAGGATATGTTTACATGCAGCGTTATTTTGTAGTAACTGATGTTATTCAAAATAACATCGTGTGCGTCTGCACTAAAAGACTTTATTTCAAAATCATGTTGAACTGGTGGATTTCTTACTTCTACTCATGGTAACCTTAATTTCATGAGGATTAAGGGAAGTCAAAGGAAGAGTGTTCTTCCTTCAACTTCCTGCTTTGTAGACAGCGCCAAAAGCTGAAGTAAGCTATTTCGATTTAAACTACACAATTGACATAGCTGAAGTTGAGTAATTTAATTCAACTTTTGCCCTGTTGTGTAGGTATACTCTAAGGGTATGTCTACACTACGAGTTTTCTTGGCAAAAAATATGCTAATGAGGGACTCATTTGCATCAGTCGCAATCTCATTTGCATATTTTCTGCCAATCCATTTTTGCGCTGGAGTTTTTGTGCAAAAACAAGCAGTGTGGACATTTTCTTTTTGCACAAAAACCCCTTTATCCCCAAGATCGGCTCTTGCGCAAAAGGGTTTTTTTGCGCAAAAAGGCACCGTCTACACAGTACTTTTTTGCACAAAAACCTCTTGTGCAAAAGAGAAAGGGAAAGGAAGAGGAAATGCAAATGAGAGCATGACTTATGTAAACAGGTGCTCCATTTGCATTTGCTCTTCTGCAAGAGGCTTATAGTATAGCTGTAGCCTTACAGAGCCAGGGAAATAAAGTACTATTTATTCTTCCCCACATTGACATTTTATTTTGAAGTAGCCCTGGGCCACCCTGGAAGGGGCGGGACCTAAACTGGAAGGGGCAAGGCTACCCCACCCCCAGACCATGAGCCCACATGTCCCCCCTTTCCACTAGGCACCCAGGCCTGGAAGAGGCTTGGCACGCTCCCCCACCCCTGGACAATCAGGGCCTCGGGGCGGGGAGCACGGGAAGCCTCCTCCCACCCTGTGAGGAGCATATGGCACTTTGAAGTGCTGTGGGCTCCTTGCAGGGCCAGGGCAGGGTGAAGAAAGCTTCATGCAACTCCCCCGCTTCCAGGTTCTGATTGGCCTGGTGGCAGGAAAGCATTTGAAGCATCCTCCACTCTCCCCGCAGCCCTGCAAGCAGCATGCGGTGCTTCAAAGTGCCAAGTGCTCCTGGCAGGGCAGGAGGAGGCTTCACGCACTCCCCCACCCGCAGGCCAATTAAGGTTTGGAGGTGGGGGAACAGCAGGGCTTCCCCAGGCTGGATCCATCCACTTGGCAGGCCAGATCCGGCCCACGGAGGCCCTTTTGCCCACCCCTGCTCTAGGAAGAGGAAGAAAGGGGGAA